TCATAACTTTAATTTATATTTGTAATTATAGTTCTAGTTTTAATTAAATTAAATTAAATTAAGTTTTTTATTTTGTTATAGTTAATTTATAATTATATATAATTAAACATTTTTAATTTTATATATTTAATTAAATTATATATGAGATTCCGTGAGACGCGCGCGATTTCACATGTGACATAATCGTACATGTAACCAGATATAAAATTTGTTCACGTATGAAGAACTTTTTTTCCAAATTTATATTGTTTTGGCTAATATTTTTAATGAATCGTTCAATGTTCATCGTGATATGTACAATATGTTAGAAATACTTTACACTGCACAACAATTGTAAAGCAGTTTTGAGGCTTATAGTAAAATTGTGTCGGAAGCTCTTTCACAAATACATAAAATAAACATGATTAAATCTGTTATCTGTCTTTTGGATCATTAGATATGTTTATTGTAGTTTTCTTTAAAGTTACAATTTCTTTCCTTTGCCGATTCCGTGCTCTTTTTCGAGGATCTATAATTTTTGGCAAGGTGGAGTTTCAGCATCATCTTACAAGTTATAGATTGTTAATATATGCACCTTCTCTTCGGAGAATCGCGGTTCTATATCGAATTTGTGATCAAGCCACTTTTTCTTTAATATATTGCCTACATTTCGAAGCTGATTAAACTATAATTTTTGCGTAAAAGGAGGGAAACGTCTCGAAATAAAATGCACATTCTCCAACGTGCGGCTGAATCTGCGAGAGTGAATAAAAGCGTAAAATCGTTTAAATGTAGCGGTTTCGTTGCCATGTTTCGGTTTTAGTTCGGCGTTCTGTCTTTCTCGCTGACGATGGCGCTTGATGTGCGTTCACGGATCCGACAGAAGACTAGTTTATCCACCGATATTTGGATCAATATTGCGTCAACGCGCGCTGTTGGCACACTTGTCGGGCATTCCAGCTGATTCCAACACACACAACACCCGCTAATAATTCCCTTCTCCCGATTTTTCCACACAAATGCGATTATCCTTTCCGCAATTCGCTCCGCCATGAAACGGGTCGCAATGTGCTCAGAAATAGTCTCATATGTGAATGGTGCTTAAAACTCGTTAAAGACATTTCTCTTCTCTCTTTCTCTCTCTCTCGCGATCATCAGACAGTGTCTGGAAGCTTGTGTGGTTAACTCGCAGAGCGTGTAAGCATGGCGATCGCATCCTCGCTACGGATAGACGAGCTCGTGCAATCTGTCAGCCTGCACAATCCACGCAAATGGATGTTTAACGGCTACATCTTGCCCTTCGTGGTGCTGCAGTCCGTATGGATTTACTGTTGGATTTTCGTTTACGGGGTCGAGGAGTACTACGAAGCGGGCTTGGCGGGCATCGCGGCGATCGCCGTGCTCCAGATCTTTTTGTGCCTGTGCTGCCAGTGGTCGGTGCACATTCACACGTTTCTGAATTGCAGCTCGGTAAGTTTCTCGCCGTTCAATTTGTTTAAACAACAATATGTTGACACGTGGTTTTCTTCGTGCGTTCCCCCCGCGGGACGTCCCCGCTGCTCGTAACGTGGCAGCCATTCGAAACGGTCTTCTGCTAAGTCGGTCACGTGATGCTTCGGCGGCCGTGTTTAAATGTAATCGGCGTTTTAATGCGCATTCCGCGTTTTATGAGTATTATTTATATTTTATATTATTCGCCACGCGCGCAACAATCGCGAGATTCGCGAACGTTCGTTAAAAATTTCTCACCGCGTATTCGCGATTCGCATTTTGAATTTTGTCGTTTGTGATTCGCATTATAAGCAAATTGCCGTGCTATTACTGAACGGTATACACATTTGTTAATGAATGCGCGATTATATGTTAATTAAACAGCAATTAAATATGCAAGCGCGCATTTTTACACACACAGTGCACATATTTTTTCGCACGAATCTGCAAACACGTGTGTGTAATCTAGCGCTTAATTCGTATCAAATGTCAAGAGAGTCGTCAAACAACATGAAACGTACAAAAATACAGACTTGTGCAACGAGAACGCAAAATGTTTTTTTTTCTTTTTTTTTTTTTAGGAGAAAAATCCGTACAAGGCCACGATAGTAAAAGTAGTGCCTACTCCAAATAACGGATGGTCGGAGCTGATCACACTACGCCACACGCGTCAACAGGAGCCTTGGTTTATTTTTCAAAAAACCAAGTACTGTTGGAATCCGGAAACAAAATCGTTTAGCGAATTGCAGTTCCCGGTCGATTATTCCGTGAAGTATTACTGCGAGTGGAAGGGATATCTCGATCAGAAGGAAGTCGAAGAGGCGGAAGAGAAATATGGCAAGAACAAGTATGTCGTCGAGAAACAATTCTTCTGTTTGTTTTTAATGTATTTTTAGAAATACATTAAAAAGGAAAGAAGGATTCTAAAATGTCGTTTTTAATTAAAAATATCGTTTCTCTCAGATTGGACATCCAATTGCCACAGTTCGGGGAACTCTTCAAGGAACGCGCGGTCGCTCCGTTTTTTGTCTTTCAAGTATTTTGCGTGGTACTGTGGTGCTTGGACAAATATTGGTATTACAGTATATTCACTCTGATTATGCTCGTCATGTTCGAGTGTACGCTTGTGCAACAGCAATTAAGAAACATGGCGGAGATACGCAAAATGGGCAACAAACCATACATGATAATGGTATTTGGATAAAACAAAGTTTCTCTCTCGCTCAAATATTTTTCTGTAAATATTGTATATATGCTCGATCTTTTGGTTTTTTTTTTTTTTTCTAGGTATATAGAAACAGACGGTGGCGATTGTTGTTCACAAACGAATTGGTTCCTGGAGATATAGTTTCTATTACGAGATCTCAAAATGATAATTTAGTGCCATGCGATATGCTGCTTTTGCGAGGACCCTGCGTGGTCGACGAAAGCATGTTGACAGGTACTTAATCGACATCGCGTGTGTTTCAAGTATGTAATAAATAAGTAAATAAATTGTGTATCACATAGCTACATAACAACTGAAAATATCTAGGTGAATCTGTACCACAAATGAAAGAACCGATTGAAGATATTGATGGAATTAGAACTGTAGATATCGAGGGAGGCGACAAGTTTCATGTGCTGTTTGGTGGAACAAAAGTTGTACAACATACGCCTCCTAGCAAAACTAGCCCTGGCCTTCGAGGTGTGTTAATAATAGGTGTTTTAATAATCGTAGACATATAACATACAGATTGCGCGTTCTCCATTTTCTCCGTTGATAAAAAATGTGCAATATTCAGAAAGTGATAGAGACTTAGAACTGTCGTTTTATCCTTGTTTAGTGACGCGATGAGTGAAAATGAAAAATAAAGGAGAAGTAAGGGAGCGAATAGCTATAAAATTGCCAATAAATAGTGTGATCCGAGTTGTCTCCTCGTTTCAGATGTCGATAGACAGAAACAGATAGACGGTCTCTAACATCTGTCTCTTTCTTAAGATTGATTACTTGATAATATTAATACGTGATATATTTGCAGCAACCGATAATGGATGCATCGCCTATGTATTGCGTACCGGGTTTTCCACGTCACAGGGAAAACTGTTACGAACGATACTGTTTGGCGTTAAGCGCGTCACCGCCAACAATTTAGAAACCTTTTGCTTTATTCTATTCCTGCTCGTTTTCGCAATAGCCGCTGCGGCGTACGTATGGATGAAAGGTTTGGATCTGTTTTTGTTTTTGCGTGACGATAAAGAGTAAATACAAATACATCGTGAAATTACACGGTGCAAATTCTGATTTTTTAGGTATCGAAGATCCTACGAGAAACAAGTACAAGCTGTTTTTAGAGTGTACATTGATCTTGACCTCTGTCGTGCCACCTGAATTACCTATAGAGTTGTCGCTAGCTGTAAATACGTCTCTCGTAGCCTTGTCCAGATTAGGTACTTGAAAAATCGATTCGCAATATCAAAATCCGGTAAATCGCTAGTGAGTCAAACTTTTGTCTTTTCTTTGCTTCAGGTGTGTTTTGCACGGAACCTTTTAGAATTCCTTTTGCCGGCAAAGTCGATATTTGCTGTTTCGACAAGACTGGCACGCTTACCAGCGATAATTTGGTCGTTGAAGGTGTTGCGGGTATCGAGTAAGACAGAAAATCCCCGTATATGTTGCGTTATTTTTTTATAAAAATATTTTATATTACTTTACATAATAATATATAGATAATTTTAAATAAAAAATATTTACATTACTTTTTATAAAAATTTTTTTTGCGTTATATCAGCGAGTATGTAATTTGTCTTTTTTAAGCGATAAACCGGATGTGATCCAGCTATCCGATGCGCCTTTGGAGACTGTTCAGGTGCTCGCTACGTGTCACTCCCTCGTTCAATTAGACGAGGGTATCGTTGGTGATCCATTGGAAAAAGCTACTTTCAAAGCCGTCAAGTGGAACCTCACGAAAAGTACGTACTTGTGGTGCAGACGAGAACTTCAGTGCGTTTATATTATATTGACGTTCTCGTTTAGGTGATTCTGTGATTCCCAAAAAGGGTAAGACTCCGGCATTGAAGATTGTACAAAGATATCACTTCTCGTCGGCGTTGAAGAGAATGTGCGTTGTAATCGGATTTAATCTCGCCGGAGCTTCGGAAACTCAATACATGGTCACGGTAAAAGGCGCGCCGGAAACTCTAAAGGACATGGTGAGCGAAATCAACACATTTGATTTGTTTCGTTACTGATTCTTTGTGTGCGATTCTCTCAACAAGAATTTGCTTCACAATTTTGTTTCAGTTAACTTCTGTGCCGGAAAATTACGACTCGATTTACTTATCTCTCTCGCGTCGCGGCGCACGAGTGCTCGCTTTGGGATATCGAAAGCTTCCCGGTGTCTTGTCAGCTCAAGACTTGAGAGAATTAACTCGCGAAAAACTGGAGAGCAATCTCAAATTTGCCGGATTTGTTATCATCAGCTGTCCCCTCAAACCGGACTCGAAAGCCGTCATCAAAGAGATCGTCGGTTCTTCGCACTCGGTATTATTTCTAAAATTCTATCCTGATTGTCTAGAAATTTCACAAAAGAGAATATTATGTTTCGAAGAATTGAAACTGATGGATAAATCTGATCTTGCATCGTTACCGCCGTAGGTCGTAATGATAACCGGTGACAATCCGTTGACGGCCTGTCACGTGAGCCGTGAGTTACACTTCACGAAAAAGCCTCACACGCTCGTACTGACCGAAAACTATGGCGAGTGGTCGTGGGAAAGCATAGACAAGACGATTCAGCTTCCTCTGAATGAGAAAAACGTTGAGTCGCACAAAGAGATCTGGAAGAATCACGCGCTTTGCGTCACGGGCGAGGTATGTGACGGACGATTGATGAGTATTGAGAAACGAAGCGTAGATAGCGACAATAATATCACATTGTCGTTGTCTCGTTGACAAGTTTTCTTCTTCGGAAGAACAAATCGTTAAAAACGCTTAATTATCGCGATTCATTACCATACATGGCGTTTGTGTGACAAAATTTTATTTTGGTTATATCTTAGATCGCGAACGTTTCGTGAAGAATTAATCATTGAGAAAGCCATTATATATATTGTTTTGCTTAAATTAATGTCCCAATAATGGATCAATTCCGAACCCTAGAGCTGGTGCGTTGTCAAAACTCACTGATAGTGCCTACTTTGGCAAGCTGTCGCACAAACACTACTTGCTAGCGTTTGACATTTGTTTTTTTCAAAAGCTGAAACTTTGTCAGTCAACAACAACAATGTGAGCACCGTCGCTATCTATACGTCGTTTCGGATATTTATCAATTTGCTCCATGATGGGAACAAAAAAAGATATTATAAATCAAGAGTGACAACTCCACTCCTGTTACATATTATACCGTGAGTCGCAATCTCTACATACCCGTGCGTATTTTAGGGTCTGTCGTATTTGAAAGGAGAACAACCGGAGCTTCTTCGGAAGCTGTTGCCACACATCGTAATCTTTGCGCGGTGCGCACCGAAGCAGAAAGAGTTCATTATCATATCGTTGCAATCTTTGGGCTACACAACGTTAATGTGCGGCGACGGCACGAACGACGTCGGTGCTTTGAAACATGCTCAAGTGGGTGAGTTTGGCGAGAGAACACGAGAACGCAGTAGGCGCGCAAGTTTCTTTGTTTTGTTTTGTTTTTTTTTTTTCAATAGGTATCGCGATTCTTTCTAGTCCACCTGAAAAGGCGCTCTCTGACAAACGGGAGGAGGTGAAAAACGATATCGTTGCGCTGTCCACGAACAACGGGCCGAGATTCAATCCGAGATTGCCGGACAATACTCGTACGAAATTGCAGAAGATGCTGAAAGACCTTGATAAAGAGTTGCACGAGGATTTTACGGTTGTGAAACTCGGCGACGCTTCCATCGCGGCACCGTTCACCAGCAAAATGTCGTCCATTCAATGCAGTAAGAAGATTCGCGGAATATAAATTATATCCGCGTTAAAATTTTTTTAATTCAGACGCACAAGTGCGCTTCACTCTTGTTTTTTTTTCTTTTTTTTTTTTTGCAGTATGTCACGTGATCAAACAAGGACGCTGCACCTTGGTCACCACGTTACAAATGTTCAAAATACTCGCGCTTAACGCGTTGATACTCGCGTACGGCCAGTCGGTGCTGTATCTGGACGGGATCAAGTTCAGCGACGCGCAGGCGACATTTCAGGGTATTCTTCTGGCAATGTGTTTCCTCTGCATTTCGCGATCGAAGCCACTGAAGACTCTCTCGCAGCAGCGACCGCTACCGAACATCTTCAATTTGTACACCATCGCAACTGTGTTTATGCAATTCATCGTACACTTTGCCTGTATCATTTATCTGGTGAAAGAAGCCACTCTTCTGTCACCGAAGTAAGTCGCGTCTTACCGCGCGGACGTCGCGTGTTTCTCGAATGTGTTTAATCAATTTGTTTTGTTAGGAACGATAAGTTGGCGTCCATCCTGAACACGTCTGACGCCGATCCGTTGAGTGTGGACGATGACAGTAAGGAAGAAGAACAACCGTTTGAACCCAATTTAATCAACAGTACTGTGTTTATGATTTCGACGTTCCTTCAAGTTTCTACTTTTGCTATAAATTATCGAGTAAGTTGGTCGCGCACATACACATTTTGCAACAAATTATATATAGTGACGTTGATAAGAAATTTTACATATTTTAAATCGTAACAGGGTCTGCCTTTTATGGAGAGTTTAACTCAAAATAAGGCTCTTTTATTCAGTCTTACGAGCTGCGGTGCTGTTATTCTATTTCTTACCGGTGGACTGCTCCCGGAGGTGGCGATGCACTTCGAGATTGTAGACTTTCCAAGCGAAGTAAGTTTCACGCGCGTGAACGTAAAACGCGCATAGAAAAACATTTGCAACAAAAACGTAACAAACGTGATTTATTATGAGCGCAACCATGTCACTTATCATGTTTTTTTATTATGTTTTGCAGTTCCGTACGGTACTGGCTCAAATACTAATCGCGGATTTAGTATTCGCGTATATAGTCGATAGAACCTGTTTATGGCTCTTTGGCGAGGGGAAACAACACGAACTGTGATGAAACCACTACTTTTCGTCGATTACTAAGACTTTTGTACGTGACTTTTTGTTATTGATCTTGTTCCACGTTAAGAGGTGACAATATTTCTGTATTTAAGAAACCACCAGTAGAAACGTTGCGCTCCGAAAAATAAATACGTACGAACGTTTATCGAGTGTATCAGGATGTATTGAATAACCCTGATGATGAAACGAACTGAGATATATATGTATCTTCACGAAAAAAAAACGTCGATAACGACACACAAAATCACAATCCAATTCGGCAATCGTGCACAAGAAACATGTATTTGCATTTTGTATTTTATTATGTCAACAACAGATTCCTCTTTGTTTCTTTTTTCTATATCATGTTGTGTGTGCGTGTGTGTATATATATATATATATAAATGTTATGTACAAATATATGTGCATCTTATTCATTATCTGTCTAATTGTTTGCTCTTCGTTTCTTCTTCGTGGAACAAGAAGTAACACGCTCTCATGATCATTACTTGTCGATGATAGCGTTACGATACCACTGGTCTGCAATTTTTGTTTGTCACTTTTTGAATGAAGAGACGTGACTCTCATAGATTTTGATGTGTGTACGCGCGCGCTGAATTCGAATCGAAAATTTGCTTTAATTTTTTCACAGTATTTTCAAACGCGAAATTCTGAGATCCCGTTTGAATTCTAACGCACATCAAAATCTACAAAAATCAGCTTTCTTCGTTAAAGTGACGAAAATTGTGTGCACGGCCGGTGTAATTGTCAAGATTACGTGAGAAACGGCTCAAAAACACGAAAACCAAATTCAAAGGAAAAAAAAATCAGCAAGAGCCAACGCGCAAAAATTGTAATAATAATTTCTTTATTTATTCAAAATACACGACCGCGCAAAGATTGATGTAGTCTGTGCTCAAGTGAACCTTCTATCAATACTCTTGCGTTCTGAAATTCTCGTCTTCAAGAGTCCATTTCTTCTCTATCCCACGTAATACTCGACAGTTCGAAGAAGGAGACAATAATCATCTTTCTAATCTGCATTCTTTTTTTTTTTTTATTTGTTTAAAACTTATCTTTCTTTGGAATTGTGTCAAAGTCCAGAAAGATAATACATGTGTTTTTTTATATTCATGTATACAGAATGAACTGCAATGATGGAAAAGATAAGCTCTTTTAAGGAGAAAACTAAATGTTGAAAATGTGGTCAAAATATATATATATATACTTGAAGAATAAAGAAGTTTGTTATGTGATTTGCGCGTACACAGACATATTGGCTGAGACTACTTTTTCCTTTCGAATTCGGTTAGTAAGCACAGTATTATAAGCCCCTGTATTGTGCGCGTCTCATTGGTGTCCCTCTGAATAATTTTCAAGAAACACTTCGTTTCCCAATATATTAGTGACAGATTGCGAGATTAATGTGTGCACGATATGTTCCAATCAAAAAAAAAAAAAAAAAAAGACACGCGTATTACATGTACATATAAAGCTGTAGACAAACGGATTATTTTCATAAGATTTTCATTGCTTAGATATATATTTATATCATAGTTAGATATAAATATTAAAAGTGTATGATATATATACATATACACATATTCTTTACATATAAATATCTACATACGCGAAATGTTTTATAAAAATTCCTTATTAACTTTTATGATGAATAGAAACTCTTGCGCGTGTTGTCCGCCGCGCTGACAATTGGGTTTGAAACGATGACGTTATTAACGCGTTTTCGTAAATCATCAACTGCATTCCATTTTAATAACGTCACGTGTGTTGTTTATCCGTTAGGTTGTTTCGCGCGAATTTGCTCTAATTGCGTGCAATTGTGTATAACTTTGTCTCTTGAAATCTAAAAGGTCAAGCCTCGCGACGATTGTAAGAATATTTCTGTCACATCCTCCGGTTCTTCGATTTTTATTAGTCTGTTGCAAATTCAGCGAGTGGTAGTCGTTATTTTATATTATTACGATTAACAACAAAATTTGCACACAAAGCGACAAAAAAACAATTTATTTATAAAGATAATTTGTATGTACAATTTACAATGTACAATTCACTTATAAATACACAATTATAAAGACTATTAGTTTATATGTGACAGTCATTTTCTCCTTTTCTTTTTCCGTGATATTTTTTTCTATACAATAATAAGTTCATGATTCGGCAAGAAAAAGAACGCGATGTGATTGGTAAGAATTTTCGTCATTCAGTCATTCTCTCGATCGGTTCATTCAAATCTGTACGCCGTCGTATTCTAACTGCGCTAACTGCACTATCAGCGTTTTTCTCTCACGTACGATTTACCACATGATATAATTGTCGCTATGGCACGGAGCTGTTCTCAGTCGATCGCGGTCGCCGCTCACGAACGTACCTCCCGCTGACTGTGATTATTTATATATACATGTTATAGCCAATAAACTGTCGCGCTTTGCACGCTCGTTACATGTGTGTTTGAAAAGCGAAAGTGAATGGAAAGTTAATGTTCCATTGTTCAGATGGAAATTTTGTTAACGTCCGCGCACTATGAACTTTCGCGCCATGACCGACCGTCTTCGTTTTGAGAGAATTTAATAAACGAGTTTTCTTATTATTTAAGAAGTATGTGACGTCGAGGTTTTTTTTATTGAGTATAAATTTTTCCGCTCGCAGTTTAGCAGAGGCGTTTCTTTAACGACGATTTGACGACTGTGTCGAAATTGTTAAATTGTGACAAAATTTGTGTGTTGTCGACGAATTTCTCTCAAAACTGTCCGAGGTGAAATATTTAGTCAGCGGGAAAAAGAAATATCAGAAACAAGAAGAGAGAAACGAAATATACAAAGCGCATTGAAGATAATTATCGAGAGAAGCTATTATTATTTACTAGATAATACATTCGTAAGTAACAGGCACCAATTTTAAACGTACCGCCATATTAGTACGCGGTGCATTATTTCCGGCACGAATAGAAACACACGATAGGAAATATATATATATATTAAAATAAAAAATTCCAAAATTCCGGAGTAATCCGTTTCAAGGCCAGTCGCCGCGTATAAAAAGAAAATGCATGTCAATAAATTTCAGCAATTTATATATTTTACGATAACATCACTTTTGTTTTAAATGTCTATAAATACTATTACATTATCGATATATTAATAATACATATATTTAATTTTATACGTGAAGAAAATATTTTTTAATTACGGAAAACGAAAACAAAAAGTTCTTCAAATCTCCTTGAGGATTCTCGACTGTATGCACATTTAGCGAAATTCAATATTGACTTTTTTCAGAATTTTTTTTTCTCAAACCTGTTTTTTAGCAACCAGCTATTTCTATCGCACAACTTATATCGTATTAACGCATATATAATGTGTCTTTCAACCCACACAGAACTTTACTAGATGTTTATTAGGCGTTAACTCCATGCGATATCTAATAGATAATCCACTAGATGTTTAATGGAATTTTTTGTTCTGCGTGGAAATTTTTTTATTTCTATATAAAAAAAATATATATGTATTAGAAACAATAGGTACATAATTATAAAAAATATGCATAATATTCATAATCGATATACATCTCAGATAAATCTATTTTGTTTTCAAAAAAAGTCGACATAACAATTTTAAATACGTTCACAACACAGATATAAAAGTATTATCACAGTTCTCTCTGTTCTGTTCCTTTCTCTTTTTCTGATAAAAGAGATTGAGGAAAATCGAATAAATGATGTTTGGTGCGTGACGTGGCTATTACCGATTGTCGATTAAGGTCGCCTCGTACTCGTTGCAATTGTTGCATTGTTTCCTCAACTTGCATCTCGTGAGATTTTGTTGCTGCAATGACTGTTCGCGAACGTTGGAAGAAGTCACGTGACCAAGCGCACTAAATATAAAGAATGACTATTTATAAAAAGCACGCGTATCATCTGTCGACTATTTCTGCACGTCTAACAGTCGGTAATACTAATTATCCACTGTTGATGTCGCTAATTATCGTCTAAAAGTATAAAATGTATATATTTATTTATTCATTTATTTATCACGGAATTATAAAAACAAATTGTAAGGAGATAAAACTTGCGTTGACTGCAAACGAAATCGAAAACTCCAACATTGCTGACATGGCGTGACTTAATACCAGTTAATTCTTAAATAATCTTTTGTTCAATTAGTCTATTGACACTATCACATAATGCTCATTTTTCATCATGAGGTGTTAATCGAGATAAGTACCGAGTAACGTATTCGATAATGCACAAAACATCTATGAGAAAAGTATAAATGTATGTACATACATTTTTTAAGGAATTATAAAAAGAATTGTAAGAAGATAAAACTCGCGTTGATTGCAAAACAGAATTGAAAACTTCAACATTGGTGTGGATGCGACATGACACTTAATACCAATTAATCTTCAAATAATAATCTTTTGTTCGATTAGTCTATTGACATTATCATCGCATAATGCTTGTTTTTAATTACGCGATGTTAAATGAGATAAGTAACGTATTTGATGATTGCACCTGCGAAGTACATTTTCTTCTTATCATTTAATCCCGAAGATAACATCGCTCTAACCAAATGTGTCACACAATTGGAGGATTCGCGCGATTTGTAAGCTTCTTTTCACAAAACTAAAAAACGCAATGTTTCAAAAGATATCTCATTCGTGTGAGATATCTAATTGCGTCAATCTTTAAACGTCAGAATACAAAAACCATATATGTGTAAATTTTGTTGCAAATGTGTGCAAAAGAAAAATCGAAATATTCTTCATACTATTTCGCACATACAGTGCGCGCGAGCAAATAATTTTTTTGCATTAGATATACATATAAATTTTTCTTCACGCTTAGAAACACTCGCGACTCCGTAATTAATCCTGGCATTTCGTTCAACTAAAGTAAGAGAATTCGCGCGTTGTTATTCCTTCTCCGTATATAGACAAATATTTTATATCTGATTATGTACACCAGGAAAAATGGATTAGATCTAATTTAGATCTAACGAGTTAAAAAGTGGAAAAATAGATCTAATTAGATCTAAATAGATCTAATCTAAATTAAATCTAAATAGATATAAAGTAAGTAGATTGAAATAGATATAAGAGAGAGATATCTAAATAGATCTATGTATACTTTATTTATTCTTAGATCTACTTTATATCTACTACTCAGATCTATTATATTAGATCACCTCAGATCTGCTTTAGATCTGAGTAAACCTAAAGTAGATCAAATAATAAAAATAAAAGTGTAAATTTACATAGATTTATTTATATCTATTTAGATCTATTTTATATCTAATTAGATTTAATTTGGATCTAATTGGATCTATTTTTCCATTTTTTTATCTCGTTAAATTTAAATTCAGATATAATTCTTTTCTCGGACATTGCATCATATACAACTATATTGTATATAAGATCGTCTCAATTTTGAATATATTAAGTATAATAATATTATTTTTAACCAGAGATATTGAATTCGTTCATATACGCAAGACTAATTTGTCTCGGGCAGTTTCGATGTTGTAATGAAAAAGATAAAAGAAGTTGCTTTGCAAGTGTTAACGATGATCTTTTCTAATGAGAGAATGATATCTCAAAACTATATTTGAAATTAAAAGAAATCATACATGTGTTAATATTTATTTAATTTTTTTTTGTTTTTTCTCTTTAATTTTATTTAATAGAACACAAAGGTGAACAATGTGAAGCGTGTGAGTAGCAACATAGTTGTCTCATTTATCATTGCTATTTCTTTGTTAGTTACACTAGTTACAGTTTCTTTGCTAGTTACACTGAAATCTCTCTCTCTCTCTTTTTTATCTCTTTTATGGGTAAATTATCTCCTTCTAATCGTATCTCATTACTGTGAAACACAAACATTTAAAATGCCGACGGCATTGTTAGCAATATAATTCAACGCTATACGGCGATTGTCATTCAGCGTTAACGAGATGAAATGACTAGCACGTGTTAAGGAGTCATAGGTCAGTGGATAGTAACGGAGAAACGTTAACGTTGGCAGATCTTAATGTGGCTGAGCGCAATATCTTTTCAGATCAGTTGATACTGTCGCAATATTTCACGCAAAACATGAGCTCTTTCTCTCTCTCTACATGTACATATATGTGTACATTGTTAAAGTAATGTTAAAATAAAGTGATGTCAAAATATTTTTTCATAATTTTGAACGATTCTATGTTTATAAAATTGTACTTGTGTGTGACAATAAAAACTTAACACCGCGAGAATTTGTACAAAAGTAACTTATTATATATTACATATATTTGTTACATGTTATATATATTTTTATTATTACGATATATAATATATTGCATTATTATAAATATTATTCTTATATTATTACAAATATATTTGTATTTATTATATATAAAATAAATTATTTTTATATATTTCTTGTGGAGTTACATGTAATATGTTTTTATTGTCACACACAAGTACAATTTTACAAACATAAGGGCGATCTAAAATCACGAATAAATATTTTTAACAACATTTTGTCTCGGAACATTCTTTAAAAGAGAAACAATTCCTAATAATTCCAATATTTATGTCCTACATTTATTTATATACATAAAATAAATATTATATACTAAATAAATACCGAAATAAAATTGTTTGGAAAGAACAATATCATTTACATAAAAAATATATAAACGTATAAATAATAATTTATATAGATATATATAAATTGCATTTTTTTTTTTCGATTCAATGCAGAATGGCAAACTATTTTGCGGCAAAGTGCCAATCAATAGTCATATATTACTTTGACGGAGCAGGTTAAAAATAGACGTTTGATTTTAAAACGCGAAAGAAACCGCTGATTCACGATGCGATTTTAACATCGATACAAAAGTTATCACAATTTCGCGAATACATATTGGATAGATTTAGCTCTTTGATTTTAGCAAAGATGGTAGTTGAATCGGAAGAAAGAGGGTACTTCCATTGGATCGATTGGCTGGTGTTCGCACTTATGCTCCTCGTGTCTGCCGCAGCCGGCTTATGGCACTTCAGAAGGGCGCAAAAGTCGAATACTGAGGACTACTTGCTCGGAGGAAGGAGCTTAGGACTCTTTCCCGTGTCCGCTTCTCTCGTTGCCAGGTAAGCCCGATTTGCCACTCTTTGACGAGATTTAAGTCTGTTTATACAAAAAAAAAAAAAGAAAAAAAAAAGAAAAAGGAAAAGAGTAAAAGAAAACTCCAGAAACGAAAGAGACAATGGACTCGTAGAAAAAGAGCGCTCTTAATTTTAACAGAAGTATATTAACGTTGAAGATTCACAAGACGGTAATTGTTGATTAACGTCCTCGGGACAAAGTCCAAGAAAAAAAAAGATTGTTTCTAACTAATTGAAATGACGAGGAAAAAGCTTTGGCGCGTCAATTAGTTTAGATTCGTCGAAATTGATTATTGAATACCGTCTTTTTTTTTCTTCGACTCGGGCGTTTTGATCGATCAATCATGCAGAATGTTTAATCGATTCCGATCGTAAACTGTAGCTTCATATCAGGCGTGACGATCCTGGGCACTCCAGCGGAAATCTACAATTTTGGCACGCAATACTGGATCACCGTCATCTCGATCTTTTTCGCCGGTCTCGCGGTCGCCTACGTGTATCTCCCCGTCTTTACCACGCTGCAACTTAATTCCGTGTACGAGGTTCGTTCGAGGGATTGACGCCTTTATTTTTGTTCCGTTTTTTTTTCCTTGCAACTTTGTTGACTCCCGCGTTCTCCGCCAATTTTCACTCACACACACACACACAGTCGATGTTTCTGATTTTTTTTTTTTTTTTAGTATCTGGAATGTCGATTTGATCGGAACGTGCGAATGCTCATATCCTCGATTTTCGTCTTCGATGTGGTGAGTTTGCGACGAATCAGCATAAAGGTCCGCCTTCTATTTCTTTTTCTTTGTTATCTCTCCTTCATTTCTCTTCGTTAACTTTGTCACTCGAGGCCACACACGAGAGTGAGGACAAATTGATAGTTTTTGTTTTTGTTTGTTTTAGATTCTGTACGAATCGATCGTGGTCTACGTTCCTGCGTTAGCGTTAAGTCAAGGTATATACATAATTCATGATGTTCGCGTAAGAAATCGTTATTCCATTTTCATTAAGGCCTTTTGCTAAATTTGTTTCAGTGAGCGGCATCAATATACACGTAATCGGAGCCATTGTATGCGCCGTCTGCGTGTTCTATACCGTTTTGGTAAGTCAGAACACACACTCCGTGTGTGTTTCGAAATTAAAAGAAGGAAAGGGATGAAGAAACATATCGTTGAATTATTAGTAAAGGCTCATTTGCCCGTCCGCTAAAGACGAGAGACACGAGAGAGAGAATGGCGGACGGAAAGCGCGTTCGGTCGCGCGAATCAACGCGTCTCTCGCACTTGAATGTTGGATAAGAGCGCGCACACATTGCGCGCGCGGGGAACGACGGAAAACGGTGGTCGTGGTGGCGGAACGCGCGGTGGCGGAACCGAAGCTCAAGCTAATTTTCCGAGGGAGGCTCGTTCGCCGAATTCCCGCGGGATGGCTGGAGTTCCTCGGACACGGTCTGGCGTAGGAAACAATTTTCAGTGGACAATGCCGCGAAGAATCTCACGCGAGAAGCCTTAGTACTGGAAATGTTTATGGACGGAAACTGAAAGCCCGACAATGGCACGAGGAAACAATGGCGCGGAGAACGTCGGTTGTTATCGTAGCAGCGGATCACAAAGCCGGCGCTGAAGTGATTAATCGCGGGATCGCGCGCCTGTAATTATCCGAGCAATTTGTTGGATCTCGTATTAATGAGAATTTATCGTGGTTGAGTGGCTCTTTACAAATTTGTTTATTATGCGCCGTGTGCGCACGCGCGAGCATTCGCGCGGACTGTTATCTAATTGCGAGCTCTCCAAGAGCGCGCGCACACGCTCCCACACACACACACATACACACACTCGTCCCATTATTACATTCTCCGGAATTAGATATCATATCTCTGGATAATTTATAACAATTATTTATTTATTTACATATTCGTGCAAATTTCTATTTTGTTCGTTCGTCGCGGAAAAAACTAGGCGATGATAAAATACGTAAATAAAGAGCGAAAATCCTGGCGCTTGACAAAAACTGACAGAATTTTGCAACGAAAAAAATTGCTCCAAAACAAAAACGAGATTGTGTTGTTTTTGTTTTGTTTTTTAATAAAAATTTTTCACATTGCGATTGTTTCATCGTATAACAGGGCGGTATTCGGGCGGTGGTTTGGACGGACGCGCTGCAAGTCGGCGTCATGATAGCGGGCGTTATTTCGGTTACCGCTCTGGGGACTTATCAAATGGGAGCGACCGAAATCTGGAATAAGGCTCTTGATGCCAAGCGTGTCGAGTTTTTCAAGTAAGATTTCAACAAGCGCCATTTAGATAGTTGCACGTTGGGCAATTGATAAGAAACGACTCATAAATAACGATAATAACAGTATCGTTGATAAATTTTGCTCTTTCGAAGAAGAAATAGTGTCAAACCCTGACTCGTTATCGCAAGCATAGTGTCACAACTCGTCAAAGTACAGCCATTTACGATGACTTTGTTGTCGCGCGAGACATTTTGTCAGACTCGGAAACAAATGGAAATCGCACGGGGCCGCATGGTCTGGCAAATGAGACGGATGAGACACCAATTTTAAACTTAACTCGCAAATTTTGAAATTGTTAAAACGCGAGAGCTTAGTTGGTGTCAAAAATCACTGAGACCGTCTAATTCCGGCGCGACACCACTTGCGACAACGAGGCAGCGTTTATTTTCTTCCAAAAGATAAAATTTGTCAGCGACAACAGAAATACGATAATGTCGCTATCTCTTATTCGCATTGTTTCGGATACTTATCAATCGCCCTTCGTACGTGTCTTTTCCTCTTACACGCGGGATGCGTCTCTATACGCTCGCGCGCGCTTACGTACATATATTGCAGCTTCGATCCGTCGCCCTACACAAGGCACACTGTTTGGACGGTGCTGATTGGTTCGTGGCTCTACTGCACCTCGTACATCGCCGTCAATCAAACCATGGTGCAACGTTACAAGTCTTTAAAAAGTACAAAGATATCTCAATTGTGAGTATGTCACACACGTGAGTGATTGTTGCAGAGAAATCAAAATGTAAACTGCGCCTCTTCGTTTTCCAACGCGGAGGACAACGTCGCCGAACTTCACTCACACACCGTTCGAATCGCAAATCTTCGCAATGTTCCATTATTGCAGGTCCATCGCCATATTTACCGTCAGCGTAATGCTGTTTATTTCAATATGCTGCTGGTGCGGATTGGTTCTCCTGGCTTGGTGGTCACCGCCAAAATGCGATCCAAGAGTCAGCGGCTTGATCACAGCCGACGATCAACTGCTGCCCGCTTACGTAATGGAAATCGCCAATCATTTGCACGGAATACCAGGTCTCTTCATTTCTGGGATTTTTGGCGCGGCGCTCAGGTAATCAACGCGAATTAACGTAATTAACAGAATTGTGAAATCAACAATTGCTCGTTAATAAAAAAAAAAAAAAGAAAAAACAATGTTTAATTGTTCGACTTCGTGCGCGAAGTACATTGGAATCGTTTTGTTCTGACGCAGTTCTCTGTCAGTGGGTCTCAACTCGACGTCCGTCGTGATCCTGGAAGACTTCGTCAAAGGTTGCTTCAAGATAAAACCGAGCGAACGCAGTTCCATCATTTTTGTGAAAATCCTAATTGTGGTGCTTGGTTTGATGTCGTTGGGCATTCTTTTTCTGGTTGAGAAAATGGGAGGAGTTCTGTCCGTAAGTGTTTTCAATTTTATGTAATCTATTCGCTCTGTTGTCGAGAGACACGGTAGTGTCTCTCTGCGCAAAACTGAATATATCGGGAATAAGCGAGATTTTCATTCCGCAATATTTTAGTTACGATTGAATCGATCGACTTCTGTTTAGTCTCACTTACAAGGAAAACTCGCGAACTCGAAAATTCTTCTGATGAAACTTTGCACACATGTAGGGAGGATAAACAGATGAATGTAGACATTTTTTATGGCTAAAAAAATAATTTTTTTTCAAAATGTTATTAAGGTAATTATAAATAGAAGAGTTTTTTGTTAGAAAACTTTTAGAATCGTTTTTGGGCAGCACCTGAAAATATTCACATTCATCTATTTACCTCCCATCTCCCTACATGTGTGCAAAGTTTAATCAAAATCAGAATTTTCAAGTTCGCGAGGTTCTTTTGTTAAAAAGAAAACTAAAGAAAAAAAGTATTTTCTTTGTCTCTGTCTTCTGAGATATTTGAAACTAAAGAAAAGTCTGAAATATTTCTATAATTTAAAATCTTAAAAATATAATAATAGACAAATATTGTTTTAATTATAGGTGACAAACAGCTTGGCCGCTATAGCCGCCGGCACTTCTTTCGGCGTTTTCACTCTGGGAATTTTGTTCCCGTGGGCAAATTCCAAGGTAACGAGACATATATAAAATCCGATTAATCGTCGTCTAACGTGAATTAAATTAATCAACATGCACGAGAAAGATCTATTGTTTCTTAGGGTGCCTTCGTTGGTGCCATTGCAGGGTTCACAATGGCTGGATTTGTTAGTTTTGGAGCGAATGCGGCTATCGCCTCTGGTATCATGGTGCCGAAGAAACTTCCAGTTCCATCGTGCTCCGGAAATTCTAGCCATGAATTCTTCAAGCAATTCGAAACGTGAGTCTCTTGTGAAAAGTTTTCCGATTCATTTAAATTTCTTTTTTATTATTAAACGCAAACACAAGCTGAAAAATGTTTGATCAAATACTGCCTGCGTCCTGTTGTTTACATACATATGTATGTGTATAAACAACAAACCTTACTTTAATTACAAGTTTTTATTAAATTCTTATCTCTCTCGATAACTTTCAATCACGACTGAACATTTGTGTGTGCCTCAGCGAGGACGATGTGTTTCCGTTGTACCGGTTGTCGTATCACTGGGTCGCCCCTATTGGCACGCTGATGGTACTTGTGGTAGGCGGGATCGTCACTTGGATGACAGGCGCGAGGGATCCTTCGTCGATCGACAGAAGTTTGCTTTCTCCGGTGATTCATAGGTAATAGAGACACACGTTTCCCGGGATTTTATCGCGACTCAGAAAGAGATATCTGCACATTTGATTTATAGGTGGTTACCGCAACGGAAATTCCAAAGTGATGGACTACGCTTGTCGGCGTCAACCGAACCGCAAGTACCGGCGAATCTGTTATCAACGATTATTTGCCAAAACTCGCATCCCGATGGATCGTTGCGAAAAGAAGAACCCGCGAACGAATTGTCGTTGTCGTGATGAGCGACACGTGTATACGTTTTTAATTGCGTAACTTCGTTTGCGTAACAGTTTGTCAAGTACGTTTTTTAGAATTTTTTTGACATATGCATTTAATGAGAATTAAATTGGAAAAGATATATACATATACATATAGGCGATGAACTTCTCGATGAAACCGAGAGTGGAATCGGAATTCTTGCGGTTTTCTCAACTTTGCGCGGACAAAAGTGTAGGTATCGCAAAGTTAACGAAAAAAAAAAAAAGATCGCGCGTTAACGAATTTCTCGTTACAATTTGCATATATTTTAATGAGACGAACTGATCCAATTGTCAAAGAGACAACAATCTATATTAATTTGAAAGTACATTAACCGCACAAATTAATTTATCGTACTAATCTATGTTGACATGTATGTAAAACCGAACAAGTGATATTTTTAATATATCAAATATGTATGTATATGTAGATATGTATGTATATACATATGTATAACACATATACTAATCTCAAATAGAGTATTTAGATACATCAAGTGTTACATATATTTTTCATAAAATAAATAAAAATAATATATTCATTATTCTGCAGTTGCGTATTTGTTATTTAAGTCTCTATCGTGCGCACGTTACTTTGTCGCTAAGTTTAAAATAAAGAGATGACACGCGGTATGAACGCACGTGTACTTGGCGCCGTTGTTTTCACTCTTTTTTGAAAAAGCAAGTTTTTTTCGAGATATTAAAAATAACACATTTGTCATGTGGTTATTTATATTTGTGATTTGAGTTTCTATCGCTCGCACACATACCCACAGACCCACATTACCTTGTTGCTAAATTTAATTCAAGTACGATTCGCGAAAATAACAGTTTTTTGTTTGCCCTTTGCGACGAGACCGCAAACGTCATCTGTTCTTGAAAATGTTTGAAAAGGGAGTAGCCGCGCGATTCGTGTCAGACATTCAAGACACGAATTCGCGCTGGGAACGCCACCGCTAAATGACGCATTTATTTAATATCCCGATGAATCGCGTCGAATCGCACGAAAGGATTTTCTTTCTTTTTTTTTTTTTTTTTTTCACCACGGAACCCGCGCGCCCGTGATCGTGAAGGGCGGCACGTTCCTAAAGAAAATTGCGATTCGCAAGTTGCGTACGGGCTTTATTAAGCGCGCTTCATGCGCCATTTGCATTCGTCTGGGCGGCTGATAGATTCGGAATTTCCACGTACGTCCTCTACGTGGCTTATATTATATATAGTTATATACATATATATATACATATACTATATATATATATACATATATATATATATATATAACGTGGAAGAACGGAGCGGAGACGCGACGCGCGTAGAGCCCCGTTGCGCTCGCGTTCGCTTCGGAGCGCGGAAACAGGCGGCGGCGAGAGGGTAGGAACGGGAAGGAAGGTACGGGCGGGGGAGTTCGGGGGGAGAGCGAAAGGGGTAGAGAGAGTGGCTGAGGTGGCGGGTTGCAGAGACGGATATAGACGGATAGAGACGGATAGAGAGAGGTCGCGAGGCTTGAATGGGGCTAGTTTGAGATAGTTAGCGGGCCTTCAGGGGCACAATCGGCCGCGATTGGCGGGCCTACAATCACACGTCGCATTATATGTCCATCAGCGCGGCGGATCTCGCAAATACGTTATAGCGCGAGCGAGCGCGCACACCAACGAGTCCCGCGCCCTCTCCCAATCCGAGCCGCAAAAATGCTGCGGTACGTTTCGCTTTGGCATTTACGTCTCCTTGCTTAAACGTTTTTGCATTTCAGCCGCATTCTCTTTCTCACCCCCTTTTTCTCTCTCTCTCTCTTTCTCTCTCTGTTTCTCGCGCGCGTATTCTATCTTTTTAAACGCTCTAAATGTCGCCCGCGCTATTATTCCACTAAACCACCATTCCTGTAATTTCAAAGACAGCTCTCGTCCGACAAATTTGAATGTTAAATAACGCTGTGTATATGCGTCACGCACGTTTGTTTTGTTTTGTTTTTTTCTTTTTTGATTTGTTTTTATTTGAGCGCTCGTAAAAAAATATCTACGAATTAATAATTTCACCGGCTGTTTGTAGAATTTGTTCGTGGCTGTGTTGCCGCGCGCGATATACTTGCCGTAGAGAAAGACAGAGAGAGACAGAACGTCGGCTAATAAATTCTTAATACACAGCAATTCAGCCTTTCCGAGCGCGCCGATGACTCCGGGTCGTCCGCCCGAGGAAAATGTTCCGCTCGAGAGGTAGACACGGGACATTCGTCCGGGGGCGAGTTGTCCCGTATGCAAATTCGTTTTATTGTCGCGGCACAGAGAGAGCGAAGCCGAGCAGACGTGGACCCATGTAAACGGTCATCTTCGCTACCTGCCTTAATTTCATTCATGCCCCGCTGCCCTCCGGTCTCTCTCTCTCTCCTCCCTCCCCTTCCATCCCTTTTCCGCCCCACTTTAATTACTGCCAATTGCCCTTGCCGCACGCGAATTATGTCATTTCCACATGAGCAGCACTTCAGTGAAATTTTCGCTAGGTAGTCAGAAATGAGACGACTGCAGTCTCTCGTTCTCTTCCCGGCCTTTCCCTCCCCCGCCTCCTCCGCACGCCCTCGCGTCCCGGCGGCGCGTAGCGTAATAAGGGAATAATTAATTAACTGCACTCTAGCGTTTCGTTTTTGCGCTTCGACCCTCAGCGGAATAAAATTTACGTGTGTTCCGAGCATTAATTAAGTGTCGCATCTCGTTTTTTTACTTTTTTTCCTCCGCTGTTGCGCGGGAGGAGCGGCGATTACGCGACAGCTGATTGGAAATAATCAGGGGAAACGAAGTACCAAAAACAAAAAAAACAAAAAACACCCATTACACGCGTTATATGTGTCATTCGTGACGCAAACGCGCAAAATAGCACAAAATGTGTTTTTAGCGTCGCTAAGAAACGCACCGAGAAAATATCGGCACGCGAAAGAGATGGCCACTTGCCCTTCCGATTCAATTATGCCTCGTTACAGTCGTATCTGCAGGAGCATCCCTCTTCTACACGAGTTATTAGGAGCGGGAGCAGGGGGGAGTGAATTCCCAGCGAGCGGTCAGCGGCGACATTCCAGCATTGCTGGCAGCTCGAATGAAAATTTCACAGTCTCTCGATTCCCTTCAATTCGAAGGATCTCCCGGAGATCCTTCGGCCGCGCGTCGATTCCCTCCTCCTCCCCAGTCCTCCTCCTCTCATTCCCTCGTCCTTCCCTCTCGTTATATGGATCGTCGCGTACGTTGATGGGAGGAAAAGGGAGGGCGCAAAGAGAGCGGAAAAATAAAGCTCGTGTCGAACGATCCCGAAAGTGAATCACGGATTAATCTCGCGGAAAATCAGGTCACTGTAATCCCGAACGGATTACTACTTTTGCGCGCTTGTTGTTGTTACTCTTCCGTAGTTAGATCAATCGTCGAGAGAAGTCGAAAAGAATCGAACGTTCGGCTCGCTCTAACGAAAACGTTCTTCTTTCTCAAAAATGTGACGATTTCTATGTTGCTCATGCCGCGGATAATAATTCGTATCTCGAATTATTATCCGCACATTTGACGTATATTTCGCGACGTCTCTTGTGTTAATTTTTTTTTTTTTTTTTATATAACATTTCAGTTATGTTGCCACAGAGAGGATTTTCTAATGACATCCGTCCGCTGTTTTACTGCTGGCGACGACATGTTTCGCTTAATTGCGCGGGTGGGTTGTAGCACATCGTGTAGCGCATTAGCGGATACGAAGGCGCCGCGTTATCACACCTGGACGATTTTTCTCCATTAGCGGCATTATTTCCGCACGAGTGTGTCGCCGCCTCGACCGCGCGAGTCACGTGAAGCTGATTTGTAGCTGGAATCAGGTTTATAGAAAAAAAACAAGAGAGCTTTTCCCGCGGTCTGTTGAGAAAATACACGTAAGGCAGTCTTGATGCGGAGTTTTTCGATATTAGCTACTAAACGGGAGTTTATTTTATTCTCGAACGAAACTTGACGCGAGATACAAAACTGAATAATTTAGTGAAAGATTAAGTTGAAAAAACATCAAAAACAGAGTCAATTCGAGGACCAATACACAAGATGTGTTTTAAGTGTAGTTTTTTATTCAAAATCACAATGATCAAACACGGAAAAGAAAGTTTTGCTATTACACGGTCAGCAAGAAAAATTGTTGAGTCTACGAAATTTTTTGTTTCATCCCTAAAATAAATATTTTGTTGAGAAAAAGAAATTCTTAATAAAGCAAATGTTTTTCTCGTTAGTAATTAATCGTAATCTTCTTGATAAGATTCTTGATAAGAATAAGAATTCACTGTATAAATGATAAGAGCAAATCATAACGCTAAGTCTATGTTAGCAGAGTTGCGAAAGCAGTTACTCAGAGAGCAAAATATTCCAGTTTCAAATCTCAGTCCAAAAAAAGTCTGCACTTTTACTACATAATCTCTTGTGTGTTGTGTGTTGTGTTATATTGAGTTGACTGATAAGTAATGTCGGAATTTTCCGAGGATTAAATGTATGTTTCAAGATTTTTAGCTGAAAAAGATGGGAAATTCTGGAAGGATGGTATTATGAAGTCATCGATCGAAATGATCAATACGTCATTGAATATATAAAGTTTTCTATATTTAAAAAAAATTAGTTTTGGTTTTTATTAAAAGTTACTTATTGGCCAACCTAATACGTTAGGTAAACAAATTCAAAAAAAAATTTCTACCCGGAGCAAGAGCCATTCTAGTATATATATATATATATATATATATATATATACATGTGTACATGTAACCAATGTTTGTCATTTTTATCTCTCCGCGGATTAGAAAATCAACACGCAACGTCGTCGAACAAATTCCGCAGACAAGTCGATTAAGTCGTCGGCGATTGAGTTGTCGTAATATTTGTGCGCGTGTTTTAAGCGCGGCGCAGCGCGACAAAGGATTTCCGAAGGTAGTTTAATTTGCATCGGCCCGGTTGTATTAAAAGCGACTCGGATAAGAAAGGATTTCGGAAGAGAGAAAGGGGGAAGGGAGAGGAGACGCCATTAATTCTCACGGAGAATCCGCCTCGCTCTTCTTTTCCGACGCGACGGCAGTTAGTCGTCACTTAGCTAGTTACTCGCTTACTTAGTCCACTTATTTTAATCGGGCGCTCGTCCGCGCCTCAACCCGATTCCCCGCTTGTTTTTACGCCTTATCCCTTAAGGCTAATTCATTAATTAATTCCGTTAGTACCCTACCCTACCACTTCCTCGT